AACATGTAGGGGTAAATAAAATCATAGTAGGCCCTCATGTTTCCTGTTATCTTAAACATGTAGGGGTAAATAAAATCATAGCAGGCCCTCACTAGTTCTAAACGAGTTTCTTATTCAGAGGATGAACGATTTAAAACCTACTGAAGCGTGAAAATAAATAGGTTTTATCTTCTATAAACTAAAGGTTATCAATGCAGTTGAACAAATATTATTGTTGACTTGTATATAATTTATCATTTAAGTTTTTCTTTAATACCTTCCACCTTGTGGAGTAATAAGGAACAAATAAACTGATTTTACCAGAATACAATATATTGGTTAACCTTTATTGTTGAGTTTTTTTTTCTGTTTTGTTTTGTTTTTTACAGAAGGAGGATGCTGGGAATTTGATCAGTTTGTATCCTTATTAGGAAATCGGATTAAATTAAAAGGATGGGACAAATACCGAGGCGGACTTGACGTTAAAGGTGAAATACATTTTATATATGAAGGTCAAATGTGAAACGTTTTATCTGTAATAGTCAAAGGTGAAATGTGTTTTATTTATGAAGGTCAAAGGTGAATATGTTTTATTTTTTAAAGGTCAAAGGTAAAAAATGTTTTATTTATGAAGGTCAAAGGTGAATATGTTTTATTTTTAAAGGTCAAAGGTAAAAAATGTTTTATTTATGAAGGTCAAAGGTGAATATGTTTTATTTGTAAAGGTCAAAGGTGAAAAATGTTTTACTTGTGAAGGTCAAAGGGGAAATATGATTTACTTATGAAGAAAAACTGGGTTGTATTTAACTTTCAACAGATATGTACAGTTCTTTGTTTATAATAAGTACTTTAAATGATATGTTTACTGTTTTAAGCAATCGAACATCACTAAGGTCAAAAAAATCATCTCATTAAAAGTTTATAAGTACATTTAGTTCAATGTAGTCCATCATAGACGGGTAGAAATTAAATGTATCGAATAACAGTGATCATTCATTCACATACCACCAGCTTTAATTTTCCATGTACCCAGTACCAGATTAAGGACTTGGGGGCACTGAACAAATTTTGTAGGGGCGCCCACAAAACTCATAAATAAATGAATGGCTCAGTGGTAAGTCTGAACGCTTATGTTACGCTAAAAACCGGATTTCGATACCAGTGTGTTGGTTCGTGCTTAAATATAAACAAACAAACAGTACTGTTTATTAACTACAGTTTGAGGAATACACAAACACAAACAATGAGTAGATACAGCAGAACCTCGAATAACGAGCACCCACCGCGTCATTATGGGCAGATCTTTTCAGTTGATTTCTTTTTTCTACTATTTGTAAACAAAATAAATCTTGCAAAAACGGGCACCTCTATATTCTGGATTAAGGGCAGTGTCTTTAGTCTCCGTTCTCTATACGGGCACCCGATAAAATGGACAGTTATATTTGTATGTCTGTACGGTATACTGAAGGATGATTAATATTCAAACACTTGTGGTGTTTATTGGGTAGGCTCCGAACCATATACTGCAATAAACGATTCAAAGTGCAATCTTATTACTCAGGGGAATTCTCGTTGTAAGCACTGTAGAGTACACAAGCTGATAAATTCCACAGTTCTGAGTACGTGATTTGTTGTTCTCGAGAGTATCGTATCACGTAAACAGCCTAATGACATAAACGGTGATTTGTTGTTCTCGAGAGTATCGTATCACGTAAACAGCCTAACGACATAAACGGTGATATTTGTTCTCGAGAGTATCCTATCACGTGAACAGCCTAACGACATAAACGGTGATTTGTTGCTTTATTTTCAGCTGTGTTGTTCTCGAGAGTATCGTATCACGTAAACAGCCTAACGACATAAACGGTGATATTTGTTCTCGAGAGTATCCTATCACGTGAACAGCCTAACGACATAAACGGTGATATTTGTTCTCGA